CTTACAAATGCCTTCGACCTCGTGAGCAGGGATGGACTCTTCAAGGTCTTTGCCAAAATTGGCTGCCCACCTACCCTGCTCAGCATGATACAATCGTTCCACAAGGACATGAAGGGGGCAGTCGTGTACGACGGCTCAACTTCTGAACCATTCAACATCAACAGTGATGTTAAACAGAGGGTGTGTTCTTGCTCCAACCCTGTTCGGCATCTTCTTCACGATCATCGTCATGCATGCCTTTGGAACAACCACAGAAGGCATCTATCTCCATACAAGATCTGACGTAAAGCCCTATAATCTATCCAGACTCTGAGGAAAGACGAAAGTACAGATGCGAATCCTCAGGGAGTTCCGCTTCGCCGACGGCGCAGCGATCATCACAAACACACACAGCCGAAGGCCTACAGTAGCTACTCAACTGCTTTACCGCAGCCTTTTCCGCATTCGGCCTGACAATCAGCCTGAAGAAGACACAAGTGATGGGACAAGATGTCAATGAGCTACCCTGTATAAATATAGCAGACTGTGTGCTGGAAGTAGTTCACGAGTTTGTGTACCTGGGCTCCATAATCTCAGACACCCTTTCCCTGGACTCTGTGCTCAACAGGCGTATCGGAAAGGCCGCAACAACACTGGCCAGGCTCACAAAGTGCATTTGGGAAAATGCCAAACTAACAGTGCATAACAAGGCACAAGTTTACATGGCATGTGTGGTGAGTACACTTCTTTATGGCTCGGAATCCTGGACCCTGCGCTTTCACCAGGAGAGATGGCTCAATACCTTTCACATGCGGAACATGAGACGCATCCTTGACATCACGAGGAAAGAACACGTCACCAATAATACAGTACTCGGGAGAACAGGAGTCCCTACAATGTTCACTCTCCTGAAGCAAAGACGCATGCAATGGCTGGGACATGCCACATGCATGGACGATGGCCGCATACTGAAGGACCTCTTGTATGGAGAACTGGCATTAGGAAGGAGACCCACCAGAAGACCTCAGCTGTGTTTCAACGATGCCTGCAAACGTGACCTCAAGCAGATGAACATCGACATTAACACTTGAGAGGCAGCATCTGTGGACATATCTGCCTGGAGATGCAAAGTGCAGAAGGGACTCCAGCAATTCGAGGATGAACTGAAGAGGCAGGCGGAGGATAAAAGACTTCAGGGGAGGTCTCGACCACTGTCAGACGCACCCACTTCGGCGTTTATCTGTGCTCGCTGCAGTCGAGACTGTCATTCTCGGGTTGGCCTTCACAGCCACATCAGGCGCTGCATCCATCTAGACTACAATAACTTGACACCTAGGGCACAACTCCATAACCCCACGGGATTGATGGATGCCTACTACATACCAATCCAATCAACTGGGTGAGTTGTTGTCAACCCGGCGAGGAGTGAGGACCTGGGTGTCGCTGCTGACGTGGCATGCGTCCTGTGTTTCTGCTGAGGGGTCCCTGGGGCCATGACGGTCTGCAATCATGGGGGGGGCCTGTGTCCCCCCCCCCACCTGTCACCAGGCACTCTCCTGGAGTTTGCTGGGATTGCTTCCTACCACGCGGTGGAGGTAGTGTTGATTTATATGCTCCGAGTCCCTGTGGAGTCTGTGTGTGGGGTGCAGCTGCTTGCCGGACGGCGCGCGATTGTCAAGTTCGGCTCCCCGGTGATTTATCAAGATCTTGTCATGCGATATGATGGGTGCTCCTTCACTCTTCCTGGAGATGGTGGGTCGGAGATCTTATCTGACTGTTCCACCAACCTGTCCTCTTAAAAATAACGCCACTTTTGGCTCGAATGCATGCTATGGTCAAAAGTGGTTGTAATTTGAAATGAAATCAGCTCACGAAAGTGACGTACTGTCCAGTTTTCTGTTTGAGTTGTCGGGCTTACTTGGAAAGGTTAGGAGAGGAAACTTTCAATTAACATTTTTCATAACGTTTTGTAACTTTATGAGAATTTTCTGCCCTTAACTAACTGTTGTTGAAAAAAAAATCACAATTTTTTTTTTTTCATTTTCAATTACGTCCACTTTCAGCCATACGGCCAGAAGCGACATTTTTTTAAGAGAACAGGTTTCGTGTATGTAGCAGTGCATGGGATGCCTTTTGAGTTCCCTGAGGATCTTCTACGTCGATACTTTGCTCGGTTAGGGCGGGTTCTACATGTACGGATGAATGCCGTCCCTACCAGGAGATGGAAGGGGGTCTCGTGCGGGACTTCGCACTCTTGTCATGCGCCTCAGGGATCCTGTACCGTCCTCCATCATGCTGTTAGGGTTCTCGATTCGGGTTTTTTCAAGTGGGACAACCTCGGATATGTTTCAGTTGTGGCCTACCGGGTCACCTGGCCGTGGGGTGTGAGGAGCGCTGGGTCACACCTGTTAACCTTTTACGGGAGGAGGATTTTCCCCCGCTGTCGGCACCGGACCTGTCTCCAAATGCTGGACCAGTGTGATGATTCCCTGCCCGCTTTTGCCCCAGTGGTGGGTGGTGGTATGGATGCTGACGTGGGGTTTGGGGCGGCCCCGCCCCGCTGCCGGCTTCCCCGCCTCCGACGTCCCTGTCCCTGCCGCCCAACCCCACCCTGTCTCGGCCGCCCCTGCCTGCTCGGTCCCTACAAGCAGCGTCTCCTGTCCCTTTGGATGTCCATGGCGAGATGTCCCCTGCGGGGTGAGTGGTCCGGTACCCCCGGCCGTGGAGGCTATGGTTCTCAGGGGTCGGGCTTTGAAGACACATCCGTCAGAAAGTTCTGCTGTGTAACTGGATGACGAGCGTGACAGCTCGAACGAACGCCAGCCTGTCTCCAAGAGCTCGAGGCAGGTCCCGAGTACGTCTCCCCTTTTTGGTGTGCCTTGGGTGGAGGTAGGAGAGTATGTTGATCTAGCGTCTCCCTCCGACGCTAGATCAACATACTCTCGGTGCGGTTGGCGGTGCTGTGGGGGCTCTGTGCCACCTCCTGAGTCGCCCCATATGCCTACTGCTGTTGGATCCCCACGGTGGGAGGTTGCTTCTGCCAAGCGGGACCTCGTTGTGGTCTTAAGGAAGGATGTGCGCCAGGGTGCCTCTGCTCTTGTGCCCGGTGGCAGGGGTCCTGATGCGTCTGTGTCCTCTGAAGGTCCCCCCCCCACCTGTGTGCAGTCCTGTAAGAAGCCTCGTGTGCAGGCCAATACGAAGCCCTGTGTGGCGCCCAGAGCGCCTCCCTGTGCAGATTCTAGTGCGGAACCCCCAAGTGTGGACCTCTTCCCTGTGATCACAGCCGACGCAGGCGTGGTCCCTCGGTCGCTGTGTTTGGACCTCACTTGGGACGACAGGGTGCTCGTCAACTATTTGGGTACCGAGGATAGAGGGGTTTAAATATGGGGTACCTGATTGGATGCCTTGGCCTTGTGCGTCTCCTGGCAGACCGGTGTCCAAAGACGTTCAGTGGGTTTGGGAGGCAAACTGCTTGCGCTTCCCAGCACAGGAGTTTCCGGACAAGTATTGATAGTGCCTGTGTTTGATTGTATACTCCCTGTCTGTGATTTTGTTACCGTATCTGCGGTTCTATGTATGTTTTTTCTACGTATTAGGTTTCACCCTTTTGGGCTGTGTGCTTGTTTGTGTGTTCTATATGCGTTTCTTGGTTGTGTTGTGGTGTTTGCGTCCTGTGGGTGCTTTATGTTCTGTTGTTTGTGTAGTTTCTAGGGCTGTTTTGTGTGTGTGTGTGTGTGTGTGTGTGTGTGTGTGTGTGTGTGTGTGTGTGTGTGTGTGTGTGTGTGTGTGTGTGTGTGTGTGTGTGTGTGTGTGTGTGTGTGTGTGTGCGTGTGTGTGTGTGTGTGTGTGTGTGTGTGTGTGTGTGTGTGTGTGTGTGTGTGTGTGTGTGTGTGTGTGTGTGTGTGTGTGTGCGTGTGTGTGTGTGTGTGTGTGCGTGTGTGCGTGTGTGTGTGTGTGTGTGTGTGTGTGTGTGTGTGTGTGTGTGTGTGTGTGTGTGTGTGTGTGTGTGTGTGTGTGTGTGTGTGTGTGTATGTGTGTGCGCGCATGTGTTTGCCGGTTCCTGTATGTTCCGGTGCTTGTTTTGTTTTGTTTTTGTTTTACATGTATGGGTGTCATTTCTTTATGTTCTTCCCCAGTCCCTGCGTGTTCCGGTTATGAATTCTTGTCTGTCTTGGTTTTTTGTCCTGCTTGTGTGGCCCTTCAGGCTGGCATGTGTATCTTGTTTTGTAATTGTTATTTTGTGCCATATCTTTTCTGTTTTTTTTCATGTTTCCTGTTGTATGCTTGTTTTGTTTGTCAGTTTTGTGTTTTCTTTCTCTGTTGTTCTCATGTGTTGTTTTGTGCTTTATGGATCACTGCTTGTGCGGTTTTGCCAGGCTGTTCTTATGTGTATTTAATGTGATTTATCATTAAAAAGAAAAAAAAATCACCAGGGGTTCGAGTCTAGGAGACTCGAACCCATGGTTCGACGTCTCCTAGACGTCGGGACGTCTAGGGACACTCCGTAGCCATCTTCCCTCGAACCGCAGGCCTTGGCGTGCGCAGTTCGGCATGAGGCCGAAGCTCTATCGACCAAGTTATTGAGTATTCTTAATATCGAGAGTTATTGTTTATTTCCAACAATATGTATTTTCAAGTATATTGTTTGAAATATTCAATATTTTTTATTTTCATGAAAATAATAATTTTTTCTTAATGTTTACTGCCATGGAAGGGTGGTTGACAATTTTAACGTATAAAAATTTGCTCCTCGTCCACGCTCAATTGTGGTATGACTCTGACTTGATAAAAATATTTACCATAGATTCCACTTAAGTTCCCATTTTGTAGAGCTTTTTTGTTATCAAGTTCACACAAAAGTAAACACAGTAGAGTTATTATCCAATAAAACTACCACTTGATACAGCTTCCTTATGACTCAGCTCCCACTTCATCAAAGTGCTTTCAAATATATTTTAAGTCTTTCTTCAACCAAGAGTATAACAAATTTATATAATTTTTACACACGCAGACAGCATTACCATGGGACGGAGTTGGTAGCGCAGTGAAGACCATCGAAAGAGTGGAAGAGAACAGTGATCAACCCATCATCATCAATGTAGTTCTGGTGGAAGTTCACTGGGAGCTCAATACTGGTCTGGTTAAAACTATGGTGTTGATGTCTTCTCCTCAGAGCTGTAAAATAACTTGGATACTGCCGTATGATGGATGAATCTGCAAAGAAACACGTTATGAAAATGAGCAGTTTATGCTCCTAGTTGTTTCCTAGAACATGGCTGTTAATAGTTGTTGTTGTAAGCAAACTTTAAAATACAACATAGTGCACATCTGATTGTAGATGATATTAAACTGAGGAATGTCATGCATTTCATAATAATAATTTTGTTTAGAAAAGGAATATGTCGCTGAGTGGCAAATTGTGTACTCACCTAGTTGGACTCACCTAGTTGTGCTTGCGGGGGTTGAGCTCTGGCTCTTTGGTCCCACCTCTCAACCGTCAATCAACTGGTGTACAGGTTCCTGAGCCTATTGGGCTCTATCATATCTACACTTGAAACTGTGTATGGAGTCAGCCTCTACCACATCACTTCCTAATGCATTCCATTTGTCAACCACTCTGACACTAAAAAAGTTCTTTCTAATATCTCTGTGGCTCATATGGGCACTCAGTTTCCACCTGTGTCCCCTAGTGCGTGTGCCCCGTGTGTTAAATAGCCTGTCTTTATCAACCCTGTCGATTCCCTTGAGAATCTTGAATGTGGTGATCATGTCCCTCCTAACTCTTCTGTCTTCCAACGAAGTGAGGTTTAATTCCCGTAGTCTCTCCTCGTAGCTCATACCTCTCAGCTCGGGTACTAGTCTGGTGGCAAACCTTTGAACCTTTTCCAGTTTAGTCTTATGCTTGACTAGATATGGACTCCAAGCTGGAGCCGCATACTCCATGTGTGTGGTGGTGTGCGTGTTTGTGCTTATGTTTTGTATTCTGTGGCGCGGGTTTGATTCCCGCACGAGGCAGAAACAAATGGGCAAAGTTTCTTTCACCCTGAATGCCCCTGTTACCTAGCAGTAAAAAGGTACCTGGGAGTTAGTCAGCTGTCACGGGCTGCTTCCTGGGGGTGGAGGCCTGGTCGAGGACCGGGCCGCGGGGACACTAAAAAGCCCCGAAATCATCTCAAGATAAACTCAAGAAGAAGAAGATGCGTGTTTTGTGTGTATGCATGTTTTGTGTGTATGCATGTTTTGTGTGTATGCGTGTTTTGTGTGAAAATGGAAGTGTGATTTGTGTGTGTGCTTGTGTGTGTGTTACCTGTGTACCCACATCGCTTGTATGCCTGTGTTTGAGCATGTATGTGTACGTGTGTGTGGGTGTATGTGCTCGTGTGTGTTAAAATCTTACTGGAAATATTTGATGGGTAGCTTCTGGTGAAGTTGGTGTAGTTGGAGGGGAGAGAGGCTATGGCAAGAGAGGCCTTGTTGAGGCTGTCCTGAAGCTTGGTGGAGGCGAGGGCTCTTATGGTAGTATTCACGTCCCTCCACCGGTGGGGGTCCGACCTGTCCAACACCTGCAGCACGTTGCGCATGTACTCCTGTACCTTGAATTAAAATATCACATTCAATGCACACCCTAAAAATGTTCCAGCAACAAAGAAAATTTCATTACTATAAAAAACAGGAAAATGGAATAGATGCCATTTAGAACAACTTAATTGTTGTACCAGTAATTAAAGAGACGTCATTGTGTATGCTTACATTAACTACATAATTAGCTCCCCGACTTTCTCCATTTAGCCCACAATAACTATTCCCCTTGCTAGACTGTCACGGTTTATTATACTCTGCATTCACCAACTAATTAGGTCATCTTGCTAGACATCACAGTTTATTACACTGCGAGTATTTACGCTCTCCGTTACGAACAGCTTATTGCTACAGTGGAACACATATCATATGTACAGAGACGGCTGCGCTAACACAGCTCCAGGCTGTGATCAGTACTCGGGCCACGTTTACCTTCATAGTCAGAGTCATAAGAACACATAAGTCATAAGAACTCTTCAGTGAAACCATCTTCACTACACAGTCTTTCTCACTGTAACCATCTTCACTACACAGCTATGATCACTATAACCATCATCAATGCACAGCCTTCATCACCGTAGCCATCTTCACTACACAGTCTTCCTCACTGTAACCATCTTCACTACACAGCTATGATCACTATAACCATCATCGATGCACAGCCTTCATCACCGGAGCCATCTTCACTACCCGGGTACCACCGGGTGTCCCATCTAGGCAGTGTGTTAGATTAGGGACACTCCAAACACTTACTAAGTGGAAAATATTATGCTAGACAAATCATGGTGAGGATGGAGTCTGGTATTTAGAGAAACTAGAATTTGATACCAAATTGAGGCCTCGGGATCAGACCCCTGTCCCTTAAGACCATACCCCAAACAACCACTAGTTGAGGTCTGGGAATCGGACCCCTGCCCCTTGAAACCATCCCCCCCCAACAACACTAGTGGAGGCCTGGGGATCACACCCCTTGCTCCTTAAGACCTTACCCCCAACAACACTAGTTGAGGCCTGGGGATCAGACCCCGCCCCTCAAGACCATCTCCCAACAACACTTGTTGAGGCCTGGGGAACAGACCCCGCCCGTTAAGACCATCCACTCCAAAAGCCAACTAGTTGAGGCCTGGGGATCCGACCCCCGCCCCTTAAGACCATCTCTCCAACAACACTAGTCGAGGCCTGGGGGATCAAATCCCGTCCCTTAAGACCATCCCCCAACAACCACTAGTCACAACCACAATAAGTATTTGGCGAGGATAGCCTCATTTGTCTGGTCTTCATCCTCGTACAAATATCCTTGTTAACATATTTAGATAATTTGTACTTGCATTCTTATGTGATTCATAATTTATTAGTGCTCATAATACGATGTAAACAAAAGTATTTATTCAGATTCTTTATGTCCATATTGTGACATTAAGAAACAGTATTGAATAGTTTAGGCTGCTGACAAGAGAAGCCTAGTTACTATGACTTGGCACTCGGTACTCTACAGTACATCTTAGAAGAGGATGCTTTACTTATAACAAGCTGTTTTTATTTTGTTATCAATCTGCTGTTAGAGTCGTGTATAATTTAACCACGTGTTTTCCTACCTCTCTTCAGCACTAGCAGTGTGTGGTGAGAACAGTGCGCAGTGCGTACTCATATAGTTGTCACCTAGTTATGCTTGCGGGGGTTGAGCTCTGGTTCTTTGGTCCCGCCTCTCAACTGTCGAATAACTGGTGTACATATTTCTGAGCATATTGGCTCAGTAATCATTATCACTGGTGTGTGATAATGCCAGTGATATAAATGGGAAAGCTGAGTGATGCAGAGTTTAGTGATGTGTAGGTGCTCAGGGCCAGGGCAGAAGTGTGTCCACCTATGTCACCAGAGCCTGGCAGACTTAAGGAGAGGATGGAACAAGGTTCTTGCTAGAGGTAGGTAACTTTCCCACACCTTGACAGAAGATTGGTTCCATCGAGTACTGTGAGGCTGTCTAAGATTACTCTCATGAGTGTTGCAACGGTGAGCAGTTGGGTACTATTCTGTGTGATGCAGGGGTGTGGGGAGTGAGACGAGACCTGAAACTCACAGTACAACTGAGAATAATTCTTCTTGTCACTCCTACTACCTGGACAGCAACGTGGGACCTTTGTTTGTGTCCCCATTTTTCACCCGTTGGTCGCAAGATGTTGCAAGCTTCTCTACAGGTTGCTTGACGGATAGAGTACGCCGAATTCGGTTCGCTTTGGACTCACAATCAGGGTTCGATTCCTTTGCGAGAAAGATATAGTGGCGCAAATTCCTTCCACCTAATGCCATGCATCACCCTGCAGTAAATAGGTGATCGGAACTTAGGCAACTGTTATGGAGATGCATACTGGGGAGAGAGGCTGAAGTTCGACCTTGAAGGGACCTACGTACAAGCCTAAAGTGTAAAGATACACAGGCTTCTTGACCTGAGGAAAAAATTATTGTCAGTAATAGTGAGAAAATTAATTGTTATAATGCGATGATTCGAACCTGAGACCTGGGTACTCACAAGTCGGGTTAATGAAATCACATTAGTATGATTTCCTTATGTATTATAATTAGGCGCATGAGCATTCAATTCTCTTTGTCTAATAAATTAGATTTATGACCAGTTTAGAAGCTGTAAATGTTTCTTAAATAGAGATTAATTATATTTTAAAAATCATTTGAGAATATTTAAAACTAACTTCTAAGTTAGTTAAAACTAACTTAGAAGTTAGAAATTGTTAGTAAAACTAACAATTTCTTCTCTATCGTCATCATCTATCTCCTGGAAATCTTTCTTCAACTTTAATTCGAGTGATTTGAGCTTGTCAATGATGCTCTCTACGTCCTCCTGGCCC